AATCTTTTACCTAACAATGTTAATTGTTCACATAACAGCAAAACTAGGAGAGCAAGTCTTTCTTTCGAATGATTATGTGAAAAGTGTTTTCAGCAATCAGGCAAATTTGCAGAGTGTATGTAAAAAAGTTATTCAGTATCTGTCTATATTTCTGAGATGAGGTATTATGTACACTATTTACATTATTTGGACTATTGTCCTCATCTTTGTCGCCATATTTATTACAACGTTTCGGCCTTTCAGTATCTGTCTATATTTCTGAGATGAGGTATTATGTACACTATTTACATTATTCGGACTATTGACCTCATCTTTGTCACCATATTTATTACAATGTTTCAGCCCTTCAGTATCTGTCTATATTTCTGAGATGAGATATGTACACTATTTACATTATTCGGACTATTGTCTTCATCCTTGTCACCATGTTTATCACAGCGTTCCGGCCTTTGTATGCTTTGGCCTTCTTCTGGTGGTTGGAATATTGGACTGAACCCTTTATTTCACTCACTGGGGTAGACTGTTCTAGTTCCATGTGCCATGTTTCAATGGATGTCAGTTATCAGTTATCTCCTGTTAATTCCCCTTTCCAAGTTCTCTACTGCCTTAACCATGTATCGAACTCACACTCTTTGGGTCCTGTCACTAGAACAGTGAACATGTGCATGGTTTGTTTTGACGATTGCGTCTAGCATGAAACAGCCTGTCACCTCCGAGTGTTGACTTCAATGTTCACACACACACACACACATATATATATATATATATATATAATATAAAAGGCTGAAACACTAATATTCCATTTATATATTCCTACTCTGTCCTGGACATTGAGTTCTACCTGGATTCTATCCTCTTGGGAAGATATAACAGTTAAAATTAAATATTAAATGAAATTAAATACAGGTTTATAAATATTCAAATTGATAACAAAATCAAAAAATGAGTACGTATTTTGGTGACACCCGATATATAAAGACAAAAGTGAAACTTATCTTAGCTGACTTGTTTAATTCTCTCAGGGACATTATCATGGCAAATGTTAGGATTTTATTTTCTGACAAGTATTTATATACAAGAGCAAACAATATACAACAAAAGCACCAGAACAGATATAGCAGCAGTATTCAATACACCAATGAATGGATTCTGTCTACTCAATTTTACCCAGAATTTTTTTTTGGGGGGTGGGGAACTCATGATATGATTTTCAGGCAAACTCACCAGTTCAATATTGTCAAGAAGACACCTAACAAAATGGGCATTGTTAAATTTGAAGGGGAGAAAGAGAAGAAAAAGGGGAGAAAGAGAAGAAAAAGGGGAGAAAGAGAAGAAAAAGGGGAGAAAGAGAAGAAAAAGAAAAAGAAAAGGGGAGAAAAGAAAAAAGGGGAGAAAGGGGAGAAGGGGAAGGAAAGAAAAGGGGAGAAGGGGAAGGAAAAAAAGGAGAAGGGGGGAAGGAAAAGAAAAGGGGAGAAGGGGGAAGGAAAGAAAAAGGGGAGAAGGGGGAAGGAAAGAAAGGAAAGAAAAAGGGGAGAAGGAGGAAAGAGAAGAAAGGAAAGAAAAAGGGGAGAAAGAGGAAAGAGAAGAAAGGAAAGAAAAAGAGGAGAAGGGGGAAAGAGAAGAAAGGAAAGAAAAGGGGAGAAGGGGGAAAGAGAAGAAAGGAAAGAAAAAGGGGAGAAGGGGGAAAGAGAAGAAAGGAAAGAAAAGGGGGAGAAGGTGGAAGAGAAGAAAGGAAAGAAAAAGCAGAGAAAAGAAAGAAAAAGCAGAGAAAAGAAGGAAAAATGCATATTTAAAAGATAAAAACCAAATTGCATCCTAAGAAGAGACAAATGTCTTATGTTGTCATTCAATGGTTTACATTAAACATGTGTACAACTCTGTATGCATGTCAATGCAAACATACACAATGGACACTCACATTCCTCTCCTAAGGAATGACCCACTGTTGTGGAGTTAGTTTGCAGTGGAGGCTTGTATTTGTACTAAATCGGTCCTAAAATAGGTTCAACGTACAAAATGTTAGGAACTTGATATAATAGGTATTATGCAGAGTAATCTTGTTGTGGTCGCTGACTACTTTCGTATTCAACTGTCGACTACTGTCGTCCGACATCGACTGACCCTCGTTTCTCTTACTACTCCTGCTTATATTAGGTGGGAGAGTCTATTAACTATAGAATAGGTGTGTTTCACCATAATACCCACCCAGCCTCATCCCAGAATAAAAAAAAAAAAAAAAAATAAACAGGTTTATCATAATTGAGCATCAAAAATATCTGAACCTGAATTTTTAATTTTATCAAAAAACTCATTTCTGCTTCAACATGCCTGACAAGTTAAACTGGTTAAAAGTCATAATCTTCACTCTTCCGATTCTGTTCATCATTTTCATATAACTCCATAATTGTGGAGGTGGATTTGTGGCACATTGATTCCTATATATTGGTCATGTAGTACTTACATAAAACTGTGCAAAATTTGCATTAAAAAAAAATTTGCT